AACTAGCTGGGAGGAATTGCAAAGTGAAGACAGTTACCTGGATTCTTTGTCTGGGCTGCATCCAGTCCAAGCAGTCACTGACGCCAGTCTGATTCGAGATCGTTTTGTCGGCTGCCTCGAAGTCCTAAATGCATCCATTCCAGGGACGGATAACTGGTCAAAACTGGTCGCGGAGGTGGACAGTCTGGCACAAAATTTCAATAAATTGAACTGTTTAGAAGATGGAAATTATGCGCCAGATGCAGATGTAGGAAAGATGGAGAACGGGGAGGTGGAGGGCAGTGCGTTTCCACTAGAAAATGGCGAATTAAAGATTTCAAAGCGTGTGCGTTTTAAACCCCCAGCTGAGTTCGCCGGGGTAATACCAGCCTCCTATACTGCCCACTGGACACGCCGCCTCGGCAAGTTCATTAAGGGTGCCGGCGTTCAGCTGGGTCGCCGGGTCACACCTGGACAGTTAGCAGCTGAAGCGGCCCAGCGCCAGGAGAAGGTTGTGAGCCGGGCTATCCAAGCCAGCCCTACAGACGTGCATGGTAAGCCCCTGCCAGCGGAGAAGGACTCGCGCCGACATCGTGCTATACAAGTCGATCTCTTACTGGCCAATAAAACTGACCTCTCGGTGCAGACTGAACCCTGTGCCGCTGGAGCGACGGCACTCAGGGGAAAGCAGGACGCTGGCACGCAGTACCTGAGCGCAGACATCAACATGCCGTTGAGCTTCTTTCGCAGTTCTCGACAGATTGTTGTTCAGCAATGACACCGGTTTGATCTCTGAAACCCGCATAAGACGCTTTAAGAGCCCTGAGTTCGGCTTAGCACTCTGCTTCGTAGCGCGTCCCAACCACCACTCCCTCTGCCGTCGTCGTCAACGCCCTCTGATTGCCTTCTGAATGTCTCAGACACAATTATTCACAGATAAGCCAATGATGATGCTGTATTTTTCTGTTCCGGCCTGTTCAATGGTCTCCTGACTGAAATAGGGGCGAAACCAAGCCTTATCTTCTTGTAGGCCTCATTTATTGAAAATTCATTGATAACTATCAATTACACTGTCTTCTGTGTAGGGTTTGTCTGGACTCTGATTCGACTAAAATTTTGCCAACAGGAAGCTGCGAGTGGGATACCCTAGGTCTTTCCACACCTAATACTCTTGACAATAGAGCATTCTGCTGCAAAGGATGCAATAACTGCAAAAACTGGAAGTCTGCTTACTGACTTTCTAAAGAAAATGTCTTATTTGTCTGATGGAGTTTAGCGACTGCACACAAGAAGTTACAAGTCTCAGAAGAGCTTCGTGGTTTTATTATTCGTACTCAGTTTTGGTGCTCCTTTAGTGTCATACTTCTTTCAGAGGAAAGTACTGAAATCTTGGCAAGAATTTAAAAATTAGTCCGGTTGTATGAAAACACCTTTTCGCCACCCGACAAAAAAGGCTGGTCTTTATTAGCAGCACTCTCCCGTGTTAGTTTAAATGTCCAAATATCATGCTCCATGTTTTAAATAAATAAATAAATCACGTAGGCCTGGTAATCATCTGGTGTTTTCCAGATTGATTGCTTAGGAATTCCTGCTTGGGCAGTCAGCTCACTGTATCAAAGTTGGTGAATCCCAGAAGTTGTAGTAGGATGGGAGGGTAAATAGACTCTAGTGTTGACGAAGGAGACACGATCGCCGGGACAAGAGCTTTATTAGCCTGACCCTAGTGTGATTGAACTCACGTCTTCTGGCGTGGCCTTGCAGCTCAGGTGGCTAGAGCGTTAGCAGCAATAAAGTATTCCCCTTGCTGGCATGGGCTCGAACCCCAAGTTTTTCACAGTTGAATCAATATGCACTAAGGGAATGAATAACAGTCAACTTAAACCGACTTATTTGTAAGGCAATAATTGCGTGGTTTCCAGCTCCGTACCAAGGCAACAAAAAGGGAGAATAACTGGCAGTTTGATTCGGATCCCTAACCACAGTGATTTGGGCTCAAGACCAAGATGCGCGACAAAGAGTGCTTTACGATTGCTGTTACATTCAAAAAATAATGTCAGTGCTGTGAATCTGGCGGCTCGAATGAACAGAAATCTGAATGGGCATGTATCGTCGATGGAAATGAAGATTCCTGAGTATCAATAGTAAGGTAACGGGCGATACTTATGCGACCACAACACTCGGCCGTCGGTAATGGCCGATCAGCCCACCCTTCTAGCTTGTTCTTTGTATTTTGCCTTTGAGACACGGTAGCTGGTAAAATTCTCATCCAGACGAATAGATGATATTTGCGTATTCATGACTCGCGAGGACGGCCATCTGTTTATTTCGAGCATATTTTCTGCTGGATAGGATAAACCTCATTTCTGCAGGGGAAAGTACGTGTTTTTTTAATTTAAAGAAGAGAACGCAACTTGGTTTTTTTGTATATTAACAGTTTCTAATGCCCAGCCAGCCTCGGTATGAATGCGTTAATGATATCTGACAGATTCGCTAGGTTTGGAAGACAGAGAAAGCCACTTAATTGCAGTAGTATAAGCAGGTGAAGCAGGATATTCTGTTCTGTTCACATAGCCTGGTTGATTCGAATTGCTCCCATTTTTGACTCAAAGATTTTACCCCTTAAGGGCAATCTTTGTGTTTTTAGTTTGTCCGAAAAGTGGTTTAGTTCCTAAGAGCAGCCTGCTAATTAGCTGATTAATCTATTAGGTCTTCCCATGAGTCTTTGCGCTTTTCAATTATTTAATTTTTTCATGTTGTAACGTGTTTAATGCGTTCACGTTATACGGCATTTTGTCCCTTTAACCAATCGCTTGCATAATACGTTTGAAAATTTTTACTCTACATTATTGTTTGATTATTTACAACGCAAAGGGTATGCAATGCCAAGTCGACAGAAATTAATATTTCCACTGTTCTCTTCTGTTAGAGCTTAGTCCATGGTTCAACACATTTGACACTTTCAAAAAGCCTGTTCTGTTTATGAGGAAGTTTTCTGGTAAAGTAATAGTTCAGAAATGGTTTGCACCTTTTTAAAAGAAGGCAATTTCGGTTCGACGAACACATCGCTGTCTGGAGGGAAGTCAATCTTCGATACGGATCGCCTTAATGCTTAACTTTATGTAAATCTACGTCCAACAATTCGCAAACTGGTCAGTGGGGTGGAATGCGGCAAATAAACGGTAGATCAACATCTGTAGTCGATGAAAAAGGTCCAAAAACTTGGTTCCCGAGTTCTGTATGCATTGAGTGAGGATAATAAGATTCAACATGAAAATGTTTGTGCCTTTTTATTGGCCCGACATTGCCTCGCCCGTCAGTTATGTAAACCATTTTTAAAGCTTATTATCGGTGTCGATGGGAACAAGAAGCATACGGAAAAATGACTAAACTCTAACAAGCAAGCAACACCTAAAACCAAAACTGATCTCCACCCTCGCAGGTGGTCAGTGTGTGTCTGGTGGGATTTGGACGGAGTTGTTCCCCGAGAATTGCTCGAAAGGAACAAGAGCATTAATGCAAAGCTTTAAAATCAACTCTTTCGTTATCTTGATGAAGCAACTCAACCAAAACGCCAAAGACGTCGAAATGGTGCCATTCTACAGCAATGACAACGTCAGGCGTCACACAATAAAATTCACCAAAAGGTCAATGGAAAGCCTGCCTGAGGGGCTCCTTCGCATTATTCATATTCTCCGGACCTCGCTACATCGGGTTGACATCCTTCCGGCCATTCGAACACAATAAAACTGAAATATTCATCAGAAACGCAGCAGATCTAAAATGGATCGTGGACAGTAGCGCTCCAAAACCCTCGGATTTCGTAAAGGGGGAATTGAAAAACTGCCTGGAAGAAAGTTATGAACAACAAAGAGGAATGCATAACTAATTAATTCCTCGAATTATATGTAAGGATATGACAAAATTTTAAATAATTAAAAAGTGCATGAACTGATGAGAGTACCCAGTATTTACCCTATTAACGAGAAAATTCTCACCGACGAGTAAAAGGTATGCTAAATGAACGTAAATATGGACCTACCGAAAGTTAGAAAATTATCTTCCAAAGCAAACTTGAGCTCAAGGTCGACATGAATTTACTTCAGCCGTATAAGCCAACAAGCGCCTAAATCTATGAACAGGTAGCTTAAATCTTTTACTACTTTTGATGTACTTTGTAGCTTTGAAGTGTTCCATAGGTATTTAGTTACTAACGCTAATTTACTTCCTCCTTAACTACTCTAGGCGATATTACTTATTGTTCACGATCTGAGCCGAACATCGCCAAATGTTTGCTTACATTTTAAAACAGGACTAAAATGAAATTGTATTACTAACAAGCATAGAACATGCTGTCAAAAATTCCTTTAAGCTACAATGACGACGCTCCTTTGAACGCCTTTCAAATCGCCTGCGTATAACAAGCCATCACATAAGGCAGCATTTCAGCAGAGTGAATTTTCCCATTTGGTTTTGACTACTGCATAAATGTAATCTTTTTCGAAAGAGAAAATGCGCACAATTGTCGTTCTCATTTTGCCGTGAAGGCCATACGTATTCTTTAAATATTGCACTCGAAAGAAACCTGCTTTTCGCTGTGAATTTTTTTATAAATTCATGTACCCCACTCAGAGCCCTGCCATTTTAAATAAGGTTGGACTTTCCGAATCGAATACTGTATACAACAGATGTCGTCCACGTTGTAAACCTCAAAAGTCACCTTTACGAACATGTTGACTCCACGCTAGATAAAAAGCTCTGTCATCGTCGGAAGATCCTTAAAAGTACAGACTTTAAAGACTAAGTGATATTCAGTAACTGAGTAGCCATTTGTTTGCATGTGCGATTAACGCGGGTGCCCGTAGACATGATCACTTGCGAGTCAGAATCCCGGACATAGGGATTGTCGCTCGCGATGGCTTATATTCTCGGTTCCTAACTGATACCCAACTCAAACCTGCGGTCCCACGAACCCACGCTTCGCGCAGCAGTCGCATTCCACTCACAGACTGGAGTTGTCTGTGTTGTGGCACGTGTAAACGGGACCCTCATGTCATGGCAGCCACTGCGCCCATTTGCCAGGCTTCCTGACGTAGTCTTGCCACCAAAATCCCGATGATACCGGGAAGAATGATGCGGGTCGGTGCTGCGCAAGTCCTCATCTTTATCACTGAGTCACCTCCTATACCTACTAGTTTTCCAATCCCCACTATGTGAGGGCCCTATAGGGAGAGTGATGCAGGCTAAGTTGGACCATTCTCTCACTCCGCATCGTCGCACATCACAAGGGACTGCTGCCTCTCATTTTGGATATCTCAGCCTTTGTCATGATTAACCTAGAAAGAGTCCTTCATTTCTTTTGCCTTGAAAAACACTCGGTATGCATGTCAGAGTCGTTAATTTTGACTTATGCCAGCGCGTCGCCGGCGAGACGTATACTAAATTATGGGACTGTCTTAGGATGCGCAAAGCAAGAGAAAGAAGCACGTATGTAGCCCTAGCTCAAATCCGCATGCATCAAAGTTTTAGAAATGTTGCGTTAATGAGTGCTCTTAGGCACTGAGAGACAATTATCTTCTAGTTTTTCGTTTCTAGCATCATTTTCATTCAACGGCACCCAAACTACATACTGTTGCATAGCACACACACATTATTGGCGCGGTTAATTTCAGTTGCAGAACGCCAGGTTACTGATTGCGAGGTTCCCGTACCGACACCTACACGCAGCCTGCAATCAGGATTATGGGATAAAATGCCACGTCCAGAAAGGGGCGTTATCGA